CCACCCTTACTTTGGAGTTTGGGGTTTTGGCTTGTTCGAACAGCAGCAACAGGGGCAGCAGCAGCAGGTGATGGCAAAGCGAGTGGTTTTATGCTCCCTGTGCTCTTCCCCCAGAGGTGACTTTTGAGTCGACTCAAAAGTCAGCAGGGAATGGCAAAGCGAGTGGTTTTATGCTCCCTGTGCTGTGCCCCCAGAGCTTCAGCAATGCCTGGTATGTTCCACCCTTACTTTGGAGTTTGGGGTTTTGGCTTGTTCGAACAGCAGCAACAGGGGCAGCAGCAGCAGGTGATGGCAAAGCGAGTGGTTTTATGCTCCCTGTGCTCTTCCCCCAGAGGTGACTTTTGAGTCGACTCAAAAGTCAGCAGGGAATGGCAAAGCGAGTGGTTTTATGCTCCCTGTGCTGTGCCCCCAGAGCTTCAGCAATGCCTGGTATGTTCCACCCTTACTTTGGAGTTTGGGGTTTTGGCTTGTTCGAACAGCAGCAACAGGGGCAGCAGCAGCAGGTGATGGCAAAGCGAGTGGTTTTATGCTCCCTGTGCTCTTCCCCCAGAGGTGACTTTTGAGTCGACTCAAAAGTCAGCAGGGAATGGCAAAGCGAGTGGTTTTATGCTCCCTGTGCTGTGCCCCCAGAGCTTCAGCAATGCCTGGTATGTTCCACCCTTACTTTGGAGTTTGGGGTTTTGGCTTGTTCGAACAGCAGCAACAGGGGCAGCAGCAGCAGGTGATGGCAAAGCGAGTGGTTTTATGCTCCCTGTGCTCTTCCCCCAGAGGTGACTTTTGAGTCGACTCAAAAGTCAGCAGGGAATGGCAAAGCGAGTGGTTTTATGCTCCCTGTGCTGTGCCCCCAGAGCTTCAGCAATGCCTGGTATGTTCCACCCTTACTTTGGAGTTTGGGGTTTTGGCTTGTTCGAACAGCAGCAACAGGGGCAGCAGCAGCAGGTGATGGCAAAGCGAGTGGTTTTATGCTCCCTGTGCTCTTCCCCCAGAGGTGACTTTTGAGTCGACTCAAAAGTCAGCAGGGAATGGCAAAGCGAGTGGTTTTATGCTCCCTGTGCTGTGCCCCCAGAGCTTCAGCAATGCCTGGTATGTTCCACCCTTACTTTGGAGTTTGGGGTTTTGGCTTGTTCGAACAGCAGCAACAGGGGCAGCAGCAGCAGGTGATGGCAAAGCGAGTGGTTTTATGCTCCCTGTGCTCTTCCCCCAGAGGTGACTTTTGAGTCGACTCAAAAGTCAGCAGGGAATGGCAAAGCGAGTGGTTTTATGCTCCCTGTGCTGTGCCCCCAGAGCTTCAGCAATGCCTGGTATGTTCCACCCTTACTTTGGAGTTTGGGGTTTTGGCTTGTTCGAACAGCAGCAACAGGGGCAGCAGCAGCAGGTGATGGCAAAGCGAGTGGTTTTATGCTCCCTGTGCTCTTCCCCCAGAGGTGACTTTTGAGTCGACTCAAAAGTCAGCAGGGAATGGCAAAGCGAGTGGTTTTATGCTCCCTGTGCTGTGCCCCCAGAGCTTCAGCAATGCCTGGTATGTTCCACCCTTACTTTGGAGTTTGGGGTTTTGGCTTGTTCGAACAGCAGCAACAGGGGCAGCAGCAGCAGGTGATGGCAAAGCGAGTGGTTTTATGCTCCCTGTGCTCTTCCCCCAGAGGTGACTTTTGAGTCGACTCAAAAGTCAGCAGGGAATGGCAAAGCGAGTGGTTTTATGCTCCCTGTGCTGTGCCCCCAGAGCTTCAGCAATGCCTGGTATGTTCCACCCTTACTTTGGAGTTTGGGGTTTTGGCTTGTTCGAACAGCAGCAACAGGGGCAGCAGCAGCAGGTGATGGCAAAGCGAGTGGTTTTATGCTCCCTGTGCTCTTCCCCCAGAGGTGACTTTTGAGTCGACTCAAAAGTCAGCAGGGAATGGCAAAGCGAGTGGTTTTATGCTCCCTGTGCTGTGCCCCCAGAGCTTCAGCAATGCCTGGTATGTTCCACCCTTACTTTGGAGTTTGGGGTTTTGGCTTGTTCGAACAGCAGCAACAGGGGCAGCAGCAGCAGGTGATGGCAAAGCGAGTGGTTTTATGCTCCCTGTGCTCTTCCCCCAGAGGTGACTTTTGAGTCGACTCAAAAGTCAGCAGGGAATGGCAAAGCGAGTGGTTTTATGCTCCCTGTGCTGTGCCCCCAGAGCTTCAGCAATGCCTGGTATGTTCCACCCTTACTTTGGAGTTTGGGGTTTTGGCTTGTTCGAACAGCAGCAACAGGGGCAGCAGCAGCAGGTGATGGCAAAGCGAGTGGTTTTATGCTCCCTGTGCTCTTCCCCCAGAGGTGACTTTTGAGTCGACTCAAAAGTCAGCAGGGAATGGCAAAGCGAGTGGTTTTATGCTCCCTGTGCTGTGCCCCCAGAGCTTCAGCAATGCCTGGTATGTTCCACCCTTACTTTGGAGTTTGGGGTTTTGGCTTGTTCGAACAGCAGCAACAGGGGCAGCAGCAGCAGGTGATGGCAAAGCGAGTGGTTTTATGCTCCCTGTGCTCTTCCCCCAGAGGTGACTTTTGAGTCGACTCAAAAGTCAGCAGGGAATGGCAAAGCGAGTGGTTTTATGCTCCCTGTGCTGTGCCCCCAGAGCTTCAGCAATGCCTGGTATGTTCCACCCTTACTTTGGAGTTTGGGGTTTTGGCTTGTTCGAACAGCAGCAACAGGGGCAGCAGCAGCAGGTGATGGCAAAGCGAGTGGTTTTATGCTCCCTGTGCTCTTCCCCCAGAGGTGACTTTTGAGTCGACTCAAAAGTCAGCAGGGAATGGCAAAGCGAGTGGTTTTATGCTCCCTGTGCTGTGCCCCCAGAGCTTCAGCAATGCCTGGTATGTTCCACCCTTACTTTGGAGTTTGGGGTTTTGGCTTGTTCGAACAGCAGCAACAGGGGCAGCAGCAGCAGGTGATGGCAAAGCGAGTGGTTTTATGCTCCCTGTGCTCTTCCCCCAGAGGTGACTTTTGAGTCGACTCAAAAGTCAGCAGGGAATGGCAAAGCGAGTGGTTTTATGCTCCCTGTGCTGTGCCCCCAGAGCTTCAGCAATGCCTGGTATGTTCCACCCTTACTTTGGAGTTTGGGGTTTTGGCTTGTTCGAACAGCAGCAACAGGGGCAGCAGCAGCAGGTGATGGCAAAGCGAGTGGTTTTATGCTCCCTGTGCTCTTCCCCCAGAGGTGACTTTTGAGTCGACTCAAAAGTCAGCAGGGAATGGCAAAGCGAGTGGTTTTATGCTCCCTGTGCTGTGCCCCCAGAGCTTCAGCAATGCCTGGTATGTTCCACCCTTACTTTGGAGTTTGGGGTTTTGGCTTGTTCGAACAGCAGCAACAGGGGCAGCAGCAGCAGGTGATGGCAAAGCGAGTGGTTTTATGCTCCCTGTGCTCTTCCCCCAGAGGTGACTTTTGAGTCGACTCAAAAGTCAGCAGGGAATGGCAAAGCGAGTGGTTTTATGCTCCCTGTGCTGTGCCCCCAGAGCTTCAGCAATGCCTGGTATGTTCCACCCTTACTTTGGAGTTTGGGGTTTTGGCTTGTTCGAACAGCAGCAACAGGGGCAGCAGCAGCAGGTGATGGCAAAGCGAGTGGTTTTATGCTCCCTGTGCTCTTCCCCCAGAGGTGACTTTTGAGTCGACTCAAAAGTCAGCAGGGAATGGCAAAGCGAGTGGTTTTATGCTCCCTGTGCTGTGCCCCCAGAGCTTCAGCAATGCCTGGTATGTTCCACCCTTACTTTGGAGTTTGGGGTTTTGGCTTGTTCGAACAGCAGCAACAGGGGCAGCAGCAGCAGGTGATGGCAAAGCGAGTGGTTTTATGCTCCCTGTGCTCTTCCCCCAGAGGTGACTTTTGAGTCGACTCAAAAGTCAGCAGGGAATGGCAAAGCGAGTGGTTTTATGCTCCCTGTGCTGTGCCCCCAGAGCTTCAGCAATGCCTGGTATGTTCCACCCTTACTTTGGAGTTTGGGGTTTTGGCTTGTTCGAACAGCAGCAACAGGGGCAGCAGCAGCAGGTGATGGCAAAGCGAGTGGTTTTATGCTCCCTGTGCTCTTCCCCCAGAGGTGACTTTTGAGTCGACTCAAAAGTCAGCAGGGAATGGCAAAGCGAGTGGTTTTATGCTCCCTGTGCTGTGCCCCCAGAGCTTCAGCAATGCCTGGTATGTTCCACCCTTACTTTGGAGTTTGGGGTTTTGGCTTGTTCGAACAGCAGCAACAGGGGCAGCAGCAGCAGGTGATGGCAAAGCGAGTGGTTTTATGCTCCCTGTGCTCTTCCCCCAGAGGTGACTTTTGAGTCGACTCAAAAGTCAGCAGGGAATGGCAAAGCGAGTGGTTTTATGCTCCCTGTGCTGTGCCCCCAGAGCTTCAGCAATGCCTGGTATGTTCCACCCTTACTTTGGAGTTTGGGGTTTTGGCTTGTTCGAACAGCAGCAACAGGGGCAGCAGCAGCAGGTGATGGCAAAGCGAGTGGTTTTATGCTCCCTGTGCTCTTCCCCCAGAGGTGACTTTTGAGTCGACTCAAAAGTCAGCAGGGAATGGCAAAGCGAGTGGTTTTATGCTCCCTGTGCTGTGCCCCCAGAGCTTCAGCAATGCCTGGTATGTTCCACCCTTACTTTGGAGTTTGGGGTTTTGGCTTGTTCGAACAGCAGCAACAGGGGCAGCAGCAGCAGGTGATGGCAAAGCGAGTGGTTTTATGCTCCCTGTGCTCTTCCCCCAGAGGTGACTTTTGAGTCGACTCAAAAGTCAGCAGGGAATGGCAAAGCGAGTGGTTTTATGCTCCCTGTGCTGTGCCCCCAGAGCTTCAGCAATGCCTGGTATGTTCCACCCTTACTTTGGAGTTTGGGGTTTTGGCTTGTTCGAACAGCAGCAACAGGGGCAGCAGCAGCAGGTGATGGCAAAGCGAGTGGTTTTATGCTCCCTGTGCTCTTCCCCCAGAGGTGACTTTTGAGTCGACTCAAAAGTCAGCAGGGAATGGCAAAGCGAGTGGTTTTATGCTCCCTGTGCTGTGCCCCCAGAGCTTCAGCAATGCCTGGTATGTTCCACCCTTACTTTGGAGTTTGGGGTTTTGGCTTGTTCGAACAGCAGCAACAGGGGCAGCAGCAGCAGGTGATGGCAAAGCGAGTGGTTTTATGCTCCCTGTGCTGTGCCCCCAGAGCTTCAGCAATGCCTGGTATGTTCCGGTTCCACCTTCCACCCTTCCTCTCGAGTTCGGGGTTCTGGGTTGTTTCAAACAAAAGCAACAACAAGGGCACCAACAGGGACAGCAACACGGGCAGCAACAGGGGCAACAGCAGCACGGGCAGCAACAGGGACAGCAACAGGGACAGCAACAGGGACAGCAACACGGGCAGCAACAGGGGCAAGTATACACCATAATGGCGCGCACTGGTTCATTCATACGAAAGGCGGGCGCACAGGCAGAGATCGTGCTGCGAGTGAAGCACAAGGGCAACCCCCCCTTCGCCTTCCTCTCATCCAACCCCTCACACCCTCTTCCTTTCCCCCCGTTCTCCAGCCCCCAACAGAAAAGGTGTACACCATAATGGGCCGCACAGCATCGTTTGTGAGAAAGGCGGGCGCACAGGCAGAGATCGTGCTGCGAGTGAAGCACAAGGGCAACCCCCCCTTCGCCTTCCACTCCTTACCTTAGACCCCCGTTCCTCCCCTCCACCCCCTTTTCTCATTACTCCCATTCCCCTTTTCCTCCCCCACCCATCTCCTGTTCCCCTTCCTTATTTTTCCCAGCCCCCAACTGAAAAGATTTACACCATAATGGTGCGGACTGCTTCATTCATACGAAAGGCGGGCGCACAGGCAGAGATTGTGCTGCGAGTGAAGCAAAAGAGCAATCCCGCCTTCGCCTTCCTCTCCCCTGACCACTCCTTACACCCCTTCTTCCGGTTCCTAGTGGCAAATCCTCAGTTGGTAGGGGAAGGGGGGAAGGGAAAGGGGAAGGGGCAGGGGGAAGGGAAGGGAGAGGAGGGAGAGGGTGGGGCGAAGGGAGGGAAGGAAGGGGTGGGTGTGGGTGAGGGGCAGGGGAGAGTAGGAGGTGAGAGGGGCGGGAGGGTGAGTGTGGAGAGGGGGAGCGCTGTCTCGCTGCTTGGTGCTGCTTATGGGGAGGATGAGGAGGATGGGGAGAAGGAGGAGGGTAAGGAGGAAGGGAAGGAAGAGCAGGAGAGGGAGGAGGGAGTTGAGGGGAGGAAGGGGAAAGAGGAGGAAGAGGGGGAGGATGAAGGGAGAGAAGGAGCCAGCAGAGAGGGGAGCGAAAGGCAACAGGGGGAACCAGCGGAGGAAGATGGAGCATCTGAGGAAAGGGTTACCGGGGAAAGAGTTATCGAGGGAGTGGAGGGAAGTAGGTGGTTCACCGAGTCAGAACCTGCTGAAGCAGCGGAGGAGATGGCGGAGGAGGGACGTGGGGAAGGTGGGTCTGAGATCCCTGCACAGGATAGTGCCTTCCCAGAACAACAGCCTCTCTCAGAACAGCCTCCCCCAGTTGAGCCTCCAGTGGTTTCAGATGAGCCCCCCCCTCCTGGGATGGAGACAGGAGAAGAAGCAGGGAGGGCGGATCAAGGAGGAGGGGAGGGAGAGGCAGGAGAGGAAGGAGAGGAAGGTGATGAAGGGGCGGAGGGAGGAGCGAAAGAAGCAGGCGGAGAAGGAGGAGCAGCAGGAGGAGCGGGAGGAGCAGGTGGAGAAGGAGGAGGACGAGTAGCACCAGGGGCGTTTTTGAGGCGCCTCAAAAACGACCTCAATGCACGCGGAGGAGCGGGAGGAGCAGGCGGAGAAGGAGGGGGAAGAGTAGCACCAGGGGCGACAGGAGGGGAGGAGGCAGGCGAAGTGCCCGAGTCGGTGCGGGGGGTGGTGGGGAAGATGGTGGAGTTCATAGTGCGCAACGGGCATGAGTTTGAGAGCATTGTGCGGCAGCGGGACGCTGGGGAGGGGCGCTTTCCCTTCCTGCTGCCGGGAGACCGCTTCCACGCCTACTACCAGCGCACACTGAAAGAAGCTCTAGAGGTGAGATTGTGTGGCGTCAGGAACACAAGACTTAGGAGGTGAGGGTTTCAGGTTTAGGGTTAGAATCAAAGGCTTTGCTGCTAAAGTGGGTGTGTCGGGTGGTGGGGAAGATGGGGTGGAATTCATAGTGCGCAACGGGCATGAGTTTGAGAGCATTGTGCGGCAGAGGGACGCGGGGGAGGGGTGCTTCCCTTTCTTATTGCCTGGGGACCGCTTTCACGCCTACTACCAACGCACGCTAAAGGAGGCTCTGGAGGTGAGAGCGCGTGCAGTCAGGGATAGGAGACATGGAGGCTGGGGATTCAGGGTTCAGGGTTTCGTTCAGGGCTTATTAGGGTTTGGGGTGTAGGGTTTAGGTGCCAGAGTGGGAGCGAAGGCTGTTGGGAAGATGGTGGGGCTCTGAGTGCGCAACGGGCACGAGTCTGAAAGCATTGTGCAGCAGAGGGATGCTGGGGAGGGGCGCTTCCCTTTCTTGCTGCCTGGGGACCGCTTTCACGCCTACTACCAGCGCACACTGAAGGAAGCTCTAGAGGTGAGTGAGAGTTTGTGGAGTCAGGGGCAGGAGACATTAAGGGCTCAGGGTTTAGTCTTCAGGTGCTATGTTGGGAGCGGGGGTTTGTGGGGAAGATGGTGGGGTTTATAGCGCGCAACGGGCACGAGTTTGAGAGCATTGTGCGGCAGAGGGGCGCTGGAGAGGGGCGCTGGAGAGGGGCGCTGGAGAGGGGCGCTGGAGAGGGGCGCTGGAGAGGGGCGCTCCCCGTTTCTCTTGCCGGGAGACCCGTTTTTCGCACCCACTACCAGCGAACACTCAAGGAGGCTCTGGAGGTGAGATTGGGAGAGGGGTGAGTGCATGCAGGGTTGGGCTGGCCTATTCTAATGTTAGCAGCGGGATGCGGGGGAGGGGCGCTACCCGTTCTTATTGCCTAGGTATCGTATCACGTGTAGAAAGTAGATTTTTGAGACGTCTCAAAAATCGACTTTCTACACATGCGGGGTTGGGCTGGCCTATTCTAATGTCAGCAGCGGGATCCGGGGGAGGGGCGCTACCCGTTCTTATTGCCTGGGTATCTCTTCCACGCCTACCACCAGCGACTTTTGAGGCGCCTCAAAAGGATGCGGGGGAGGGGCGCTACCCGTTCTTATAGCCTGGGTATCTCTTCCACGCCTACCACCAGCGACTTTTGAGGAGGCCCCTTTTACAGTTACTACCAGCGCACGCACACTGCAAAAGGCTCTGCAGGTGAGAGTGTGTGGAGTCAGGGACAGGACCCGCCTGCAGGAGGGGTGAGGGTGTAAGGTTTAGAAATTAGGGTTCAGGGTTTGTGGTGGTTTACTGTTTAGGGTTCAGGGTTTGTGGTGGTTTACTGTTTAGGGTTCAGGGTTTGTGGTGGTTTACTGTTTAGGGTTCAGGGTTTGTGGTGGTTTACTGTTTAGGGTTCAGGGTTTGTGGTGGTTTACTGTTTAGGGTTCAGGGTTTGTGGTGGTTTACTGTTTAGGGTTCAGGGTTTGTGGTGGTTTACTGTTCAGGGTTCAGGGTTTGTGGTGGTTTACTGTTTAGGGTTCAGGGTTTGTGGTGGTTTACTGTTTAGGGTTCAGGGTTTGTGGTGGTTTACTGTTTAGGGTTCAGAGTCTAGTTGCTGGAGTGATGCGGGGTGTGGTGGGGAAGGTGGAGGGGTGTGGCGGGGAAGGTGGAGGGGTGTGGCGGGGAAGGTGGAGGGGTGTGGCGGGGAAGGTGGAGGGGTGTGGCGGGGAAGGTGGAGGGGTGTGGCGGGGAAGGTGGAGTGGAGTGGTGGGGAAGGTGGAGGGGAGTGGTGGGGAAGGTGGAGGGGTGTGGCGGGGAAGGTGGAGGGGTGTGGTGGGGAAGGTGGAGGGGTGTGGCGGGGAAGGTGGAGCGGAGGCGTACATTGTGTGCAACAGCCCCTCGGAGTTGCGGGTTGGCTTTTGAGTATTTCCAAAAACACCCTGCAGCTTCAAGGGTGGTGGAATACGTTGTGTACCACACCCATTTCCGCCATCCCAGGCGTGTTTTGAGTCGACTTAAAACACGACCCTGCAGCTTCAATCAAGGGTGGTGGAATACGTGTGTTTTGAGTCGACTCAAAACACGACCCTGCAGCTTCAATCAAGGATGGTGGAATACGTTGTGTACCACTCCCATTTCCGCCCTCCCAGTCGGACTGCTTGTGCATCAGCCCCTCCCGTGCTGCCTGCCTGGAAAACTTCCCGTGCCTGGAACTGGATGTGCTTATCTCATTCCATTCCACCCTTTCTTATCCCCCTTTCCCATCCCCCTCTTCCCCCCCACAGCGCGCCAATGCCCCTCTGGTGTTGATGCCACAGCCACCCCCTCGCCCTCGCCCCCCCACTGCGGTCCTACCAGGCGAACTGCCCGTGCCTGCATGCCTCTCTCTCACTCCTCCCCTCCTTCTCCACTTTCCCCCCATTCCTGCCCCTCACCTCCTCCACCACAGCGCGCCAATGCCCCTCTTGTGTTGATGCCTCAGCCATCCCCTCAAGCTCGGGCCCCCACTGCCATGCTGCCAGGAAAACTGCATGTCCTTCTCCTCTTCCTGCCACAATCTCATTCTTGCTCCCCCCTGTCCTCTTCCTTGTCTCCTTTCCTATCCGCCTCTTATCCTGTCCCCACATTCCCTTCCCCCCCACAGCGCGCCAATGCCCCTCTGGTGCTGATGCATCAGCCGCCCCCCCGCCCTCGGCCCCCCACTGCCGTGCTGCCCGGCAAACTGCCCGTGCCTGCATGTCTCTCTCTCATTCCGCCTCCTGCCCCTTGTTTTCCCCTTCCACCACCCCCATCCTCCCCCCCACAGCGCGCCAATGCTCCTCTTGTGTTGATGCATCAGCCGCCCCCCCGCCCTCGCCCCCCCACTGCCGTACTGCCAGGCAAACTGCCCGTGCCTGCTTGTCTCAGTCTCATTGCTTCCGTTCTTCCCCTCTATCCCCAATCCTCTCCCCCTTCTCCTTTTCTGTCCTCCCCCCCCACAGCGCGCCAATGCTCCTCTGGTGTTGATGCCGCAACCGCCCCCTCGTCCTCGCCCCCCCACTGCTGTCCTTCCCGGGAAGCTGCCCGTGCCTGCTGTCCGCAAACTGAGGGAGGCAGAGGCGGGTGTGGTTCTAAGAGATGTGACTCTAGCGGGAGGGGAGTCTGGTAGGGGTGGTGAGGCGGAGGGAGGGGAGGAGGAGCGTGAGAGGGAGAGGGGGGAGGAGAAGGGGGAGGGAGCTGAGGGTGGAAAGGGTGGGGAGGGGAGTGAGAGTGAGGGAGAGGAGGGGACCAAGGGTGGGGAGGGGAGTGGGAGCGAGGGAGAGGAAGGGGAGATACGAGGGCAGGCGGGAGGGAAGAGGGGCAAGAAAAGGGGCGTGCAAGAGTCGGATGAGGAGGGGGAGAGTGGGGAGATTGTGAGTGAGGGGGAGGGAGAGGAGGGAGAGAAGGGAGAGAAGGGAAAGAAGGGAGGAGAAGGAGGGGGTGATAAGGAAGAGGAGGGGAGCAGAGAAGCAGCAAAGGGGGCAGCTGTGGCTGGTGGTAGGCTCAGTGCCGCAGCAGTGGCAGCAGCAGTGCGTGCAGCGACGAGCAGATTCCTTCCCTCCTCTCACACCGCTTCTTCTGCCCTTCCAGCTGCTGCAGCAACAACCGGTGCTGCTGCCACTTCCACTGCTCCCTCTGTTTCACCCGCTGCTGCACCCGCCAAGGCTGCTGCTTTGGTGTTTGGAGAGGAAGAGACTGAGGGTGGGGCCGGGGGGAAAGGTGCTGCTGGTGGTGCTAGTGCTGGTGCTCGTGCTGCTGCTGGTTCAGGTGCTGGTAACACAGGTGGTAACCGCATGAGCGCTGCAGCAGTGTTGGAGATTCTGAGGGGAAGGAGGCCCGGGAGTGGACCAGGCAGGTCAGTCACTGGGCAGGGGTCTGCTCGTCCTGCTGGTCAATCTGCTGCTGAATTATCTGCTGCACCTTCTGCTGCTCCTCACGCTACTGTCACTGGTGTGGCCCCTCCTCCATCTCTCATTCCTACTGCTGCTGCTCCTGGTGGTTCCGGTGCTGCTGCTGCTGCTGCTGTTGATGGTGGTTCTGCTGCTGCTGGTGCTGCTGCGGTGCAAGGAGGGGCTGTTGAGGAACTAACAGCAGAGGAGCAGAGGCGGCTGGAGAGAAGGCGCAAGGCAAAGCTGTTCTCTGCCATGCTCACCTCTACAGCCGGTGCTGCAGTAGTCTGTACGTCTGCTGCAGGGAGCAGTGCTGCTGCCGCTGGCGTTCCCACAGAAAGGGGCGGGGGCACTGATGCGGCAGCAGTAGGGGGCAGTGGTGGTGTAACCACGCAAGGGGCTGAGGTTGCTCTGGCGGCAGCGGCGGCAGCTGCAGCAGCAGCAGTGGCCAAGGCACTGCCCCTTCTTGGCTTGTCAGGACAGGTTGATGCTGGCGTTGGGAAGGGTGGAGGGGGAGGAGGGAGGGCAAGCAAAGGAGCAACGGGAGGAGCATTTGGAGGGGCAAAGGCAGAGGTTAATGGAGTGGAAAGTGGATCGGTTAAGATGGGGAAGGGGAAAGTTGGATTGAAGGGAGAAGCAGAAGCAGGTTGTGCAGTGGGGAAAGAGGAGAGCAGGGAGGAGGGGGAGAGGAGCGATGAAGAGGAGAGAAGGGAGGACGGGGAGGAGGATGGGACGGAAAGGGGGAGGTCGAGGAAAAATGAGATGGGGAGTGGAAAGAGGAGGGTTGAAGAGCCTCGAAGGAGCAGCAGCAAAAGCAGTTATAGCCGGGGAAGCAGAGAACGCAGTGAAAGTGGGGATAGCAGAAGAAGCAGCGAAAGCAGAGGAAGCAGAGGAAGCAGAGGAAGCAGAGGAAGGGGAGTAAGAAGAGAAAGGAGAGGCGGAAGCAAAGGAGGAGACGGAAGAAAGAGGATAGGAAGAAGGAAGAGCAGCCCTGCAAGCAGCCGAGATTCCAGCAGGGAACGCAAGCCAAGTAGGGAACACAAACCAAGCAAGGAGCGCAATCGAAGCAGGGAACGCAAGGCAAAGTTCGTCCGGAAGAAAATTAAGCGCTCTCACTCACACTCCCCATCCTTGTCCCGGTCTCCCTCCTTGTCAACATCATCATCCCCTTCTCGCTCCATCGCTTCTCATTCCTCCCCATCCTCCTCCCCTTCCTCCTCGTTTTCCTCTAGGTCCTCGTCCCCCTCATCTCCCTCTCGGTCACTTAGGAAAAGCCGCGGGCACTTAGGAAAAGCTGCGGGCATGAGGAGAAGCCGTGGGCACTTAGGAAAAGGGAGTGGTGGTGACAAGAGGAAAAGGCGTGAGCGTTCTAGTGAGGGGAGTGACAGAGATGAGAGGGAACGGTGTGGGCGGTCTATGTCGAGTTCTCCTATAACAAGGATAAAGGAAAAGGAGAGGAAAGGGAGAGGCGATGGGAAGGGGAAGAAGGCAGAGGAGAGGGAAGGGAAGAGGGGAAGGGAGAGGGGGGGAGGGGAGAGGGAAAAGAGAGGGGAGGGGAAGAGGGAAAAGGAAGACGATAGAGAGAGGGAGAGGGTGAAAAAAAAGAGGTCAGTGTCTCCTGAAGGAAAGCGCATGAGAGGAGAGGGCAAGGGAAAGGAGAGTATACATACAGTCAAGGCGAAACCAAGGGAAAAACAGAGGAAAGGTGGTGGGAAGGAGAGAGCATCTGAACCTGCATTTGGCGTGAAAAGGGAGTCACGTGAAGAGGAGAAAAAACAGGGGGTAAGGGAGATGGGCGAGAGCAAGATGGGTGCGGAGGGGAATGTTGCAGCGAGTGTGAGTGTTCCTGATGACATTTGAGCCAAGGTGAAGGCCCTACTGCGTAAGCTCTAATGGAACATGATGTCCTGCTTTTTGAAGTGAACTTAAAGGTTGCAAGAATGGAAAGAGAAATGTCGTGGGGGGGAATCAAGGGGAATGTTGCAGCGAGTGTGAGTGTGAGTGTTCCTGATGACATTCGAGCCAAGGTGAAGGCGCTGCTGCGTAAGCTTTGAATGATTGTGATTCTTGTTTTTTTAGCTGAATTCGAAGATCGCACGAAGGGAAAGAGGAAGGAGGGTGCAAAAGGGAGTGCAGCAGCGAGTGAAGGTGCTCCTGATGACATTCGAGTCAACATGAAGGCTCCGCTGCGCAAGACCTGAATGGCGCCGATTGCATGCTCTTTGGGCCATGTTCGATTGCACTTCATTCTTTTGTACAGCCCCACCAAAGTATAGCCGAGTCGGCCTAGGGTGTCCGAACCTGGGGTCACTACCTTCCAGATGCAACTTGACTTGGTTAACAGTTTTGACAGCTGCCCGAACAGCCCAAGTCCCAACAGTCAGAACCGCGTAGTCAACCGATAAAACAAACTTACACAGTGCGCAATTCAATTGATTCTAGCAAAATCAGATACGAGAAATTGTTCACAAAATTCCAAAATAGCACGTGGTGAACTTCGGAAAACTCACTGTTGGGTATTTGAAAGATGAAAAAAACAAATCCCAGTGTACCCTCGAACACAAATGCGTTTCAAAAAACAATAATCAGCTGCTTTACGGGAAAACTGTACACCAAACGTTTTAGGGTACAAATGTTTCTACACAATTTCTGCCCGAAATGTTTACACCTTCAAAGTGGCATTGGGGAGGCTGTCGTTGGTGCAGCCAGCGGAAACCAAGTATTTTTTGCCCGTGAAGTACTGTTGCTTGACCAGTGACCAGAGAGGAGATTGGACTTCAAACCAGGTACGTAGAGCACGTCGGTGTAGCGCATGGACCGCGGTCCGCAGCGAAAATTACCGCACCAGATTCGTAGGTGTGCCAAACGTACTTGAGGTTCTGGTTTGGGTCCGCCTAACCTCTCGTGAGGTTTAAAGCCCTCGTTTGCAGCAGCCGAGCCTTTCCCAAGCCACGCAATACTTTGATAGGAATGTGGTACCCCTGGACTTCAAAGCTATCGAACAAGGCCTTGGTCTGATGTGTTCCTACCGCCTCATATCAGGCAACCTCGTATCAACTTCGCGTCGAACCGCACTAAAACGCATCCAACCGCAGTCGAACACACTGAAACGTACTTCACCACGCGAAGCTGATACGAGGTGTGTCTGATATGAGGTGTAGGAACACGCCCTTAGTGTTGCAGTTTGGTAGATGAGCATTGAGCTCTTCAGTATACTAGTGTGCTTCTTTATGGTGTGATTAGTTGACATTCGAGCAAAGGTGAAGGCTCTGTTCTTCACTACTTATCACTGTTGTAGTGCTCCTTGATGGTGTGATTAGTTGACATTTGAGCCAGATTGAAGGTTGCAAGCTAAGGGGGGCCTGTCTGAAGGTACAAGCGAATATGTTTGTAGATTGACTTGTATAGTGACATTGTTACCATGCTGTAGAGCAAGAATTCTATAGTGCTATCTAGCTACAAGGCGTGGGGCCAGCACACGGATTATGTGCCACTCAGTCTCGGGCTCCTCCTACCAAAGGGCACCAAGGGCGAGAAGTCGAAGGGAGGCGGCCGCAGCCGCAGACTTTCACTCGCTCCCTCACGCACTCAAATTCCTCGCTCTAGCTCCGCATTTGCCCCCTCCTCATCGCACCTCACTCGCAGCCCTTTTGTCAGCCCGGCACTAAAAACACACTCATTGCGACCTTGATCCCACCCCTGGGTCGCCGCAGCGGTCGCAACAGTCGCACAAGTTGCGGCGGTCGCATGATTCGCAACAGTCGCACAAGTTGATGCGAACTTTGATGTTGCGCGCGCAGTCGTCGCCGATGCTGCTGCCGAAATACAGCATCGTTCGCGACTCAGTGGGCGCAACTGTGTAACGAATCATTCCCCAGTACCCCTGCGGGGCCACCGTCTTGGCGAAACCGAACCAGCACGCGGTGTAACCAAGCGGCGTCGCCCACTGTCGCACGTTTCGCATGCCGATCCAGCGGAACACTGTATAGCGGAGATGGGCGTGGGGAGGGCGGAGGGGAATGGCGTGTGAGGAGAGAGTGAGGGGAAAATGGGTGGGTGTGCGATAGTGCCAAAGAATCCGTGGGGCTTGGGAGACAGGTTTCAGTGGGCCGAGTGGGGATACGGGCCGTGACAATGCGAACGAACACGTGTTATAGCCCGTGCCGCGCGGAGCTTATCAGACGCACTCCACCGGAGTGCAGTGCAGCGTGGTGCAATCCGGTGCAGTGTAGTGCAGCGTAGTGCAATGCGGTGCAGTGTAGTGCAGTGTAGCGCACGGCCTTTTCTCTCAATGCGAGCAGGTCGAATGTGCCCATGCAGAACAGCTGGACCTTAATATGCGTTTTGGCGCATGATCAGCAGATGCAATCCGCGGATACCGTAGTACATAAACATGAATCGCCTCTTACCGAGTACGTCGCCGGCCACGACGGTGGGTTGCTTCCACGAAGATACGCCATACGCCCACGGGCTGAGGAAAGTCCAGATGTCAGTTAAATGCCCCACTGTTATTATCTTAGCGTCCGCCGAGCCTGCATCGTAAGGAACACGGGCGGGGCAGACGTGAGGAGAAAAGGAACGAGATAGGGAGAGTTAAGGGAGGTAGATGGCAGAAAGGATTTAGTCTTGAAATCAGGTGTGCAAGGATGGCTTGCTTTGCGGTTTATGAGCGCGTATAGTGTGGTGAATCAAGGTGTCTTACCGATGCAGACTACAGCGAGAACAAGACCAAGCAGCACCAGATGCCGAGAGGCCATTGGTCGCGATGGGATGTGAGAAGCGAGGGTTTGGTGCTGTGCAATAATCGCTGGAGGGACTGGAGTCGAAGTTTGGGATTAGTGGCTCTACGGAAAGAGGTAAGTGCTCAAGAAGGAAAGATACTCGTATTGGCTATTAGACACTAATGCAGGTTCGACTCTCCGACCTTATGAACGCACTGTTGTAGAGGCGTCTCCTCTACTTTGCAGAAACTCTAAGTTGCACTAAACGATAGAGCACAGTCTTGGCTTTCCAACAAGCCGTCAAACACGTTAATCGCCCAAGTATACGCCGAGATATTGGCGTTCACGTGATTGCTAGTGCTCTTAGAAGCAAGGATAGACCTCTCTGGAATTTTGGTTCGAATGGACCATGTACAAGAAGATTCAGGATTTCAGTATAAAGCATGCATACAAGGCAGGTCGATTTATAGCAAATGCATTACATCGAACCGCACATGTAACATCACATCGCTACACTCGCGTCGCGAATGCGCCGCGTGTAACATTTCGGTTGGGGTGAAATTCGACCACCGAATTTCACACCGAACACACCGAATTCGCCTTGCACTTGAAGGTTGGAATGTGGTGCCGCCACGTGGCACCGAAGGGTGAGTCTCCCGAAGTCAATCGGTGCCACCCCACCGATCCCTAGTCAAAGGGATCGAAGGCACCGAAGTGCCCTCGGTGGGTTGGGGGCATACCACCGCCCCACCACCGTTTCCTTCCAACACTCCCCCTTGCACCCAAGCCACTAGGTGTTCATACCAACACGCTCACGGCATGCACGGAATGAATCCTTAGGGAGTGGTTTAGTGAGGAAATCCGCGGGTTGCGCCTTGGTGCTTATGTATGTGACCTTGACCTCACCTCTCTCGACCACCTCACGAATGAAGTGATGCTTCACCTCAATGTGCTTGGTACGCCCGTGAAGGACGGCATTGTGAGTGAGGTTTATGGCCGCTTGGTTGTCACAAAAGAGAGGAGTTGGGTCGGCTTGAGGATGCCCAAGCTCCGCTAGAAGGCGCCGTAGCCATATTGCCTCCATGGCTCCTTGAGTGAGTGCCATATACTCCGCTTCCGTTGTGCTTAGAGCCACGGTTGGTTGCAACTTGCTTTGCCAACTCACGGCTCCCCCAAGCAAGGTGAAGACGTACCCGCCGGTACTCTTGCGCTTGCTTTGATCACCGGCATAATCCGAGTCGGTGTAGCCCTTAAGCACAATTGGACCAGCTTCATATACGATTCCCAAGTTGGGTGTGCCTTGGAGGTAGCGTAGAACACGTCCTCCCGCACGCACATGCTCGGTATGAGGGTTGCTTACGGCTCGTCCAAGTACCCCGGCGGCGTATGAGAGGTCGGGACGGGTGGAAACGGCGGCATACATGAGTGAGCCGACTAGCGAATGAAACCGCTTCCCTTCGGCTTCGTCGAGGGCGGATTCTTCCTCTCCCGGGAGGCAAGAAAATCCCGTGTCTAGTGGCGTCCCCACCGGGTTGCTATTACCCATG